GGCGAGACGCGCGGAAGGGCTCGGGCGCGCGCAGAGAGAAGAAGGCGTGGCGCAGGGCCTGGGCTGCTGACGGGCGCCCGCCAAAGGCTGGGGGGGGGGGGGATGGAATGGGGGGATGGAATGGGGGGATGGAATGGGGGGATGGAATGGGGGGATGGAATGGGGGGATGGAATGGGGGGATGGAATGGGGGGATGGAATGGGGGGATGGAATGGGGGGATGGAATGGGGGGATGGAATGGGGGGATGGAATGGGGGGATGGAATGGGGGGATGGAATGGGGGGATGGAATGGGGGGATGGAATGGGGGGATGGAATGGGGGATGGAATGGGGGGATGGAATGGGGGGATGGAATGGGGGGATGGAATGGGGGGATGGAATGGGGGGATGGAATGGGGGGATGGAATGGGGGGATGGAATGGGGGGATGGAATGGGGGGATGGAATGGGGGGATGGAATGGGGGGATAGAATGGGGGGATGGAATGGGGGGATGGAATGGGGGGATGGAATGGGGGGATGGAATGGGGGGATGGAATGGGGGGATGGAATGGGGGGATGGAATGGGGGGACAAAGAGAGGAGAGAGTGGGGGTGGCATCACACACACGAGAGCAGACGCACATCCAACAGCACGGGCATTCACGAGGACCCGAATTGGACCTTCTAGAGCCTGCATCGCTATCGGTGCTTCCATTCCCCCTCCCCCCCCCCTGCCCCTACCGCTGGGCCACACCGCCCCCTCGTGGTTGGGGCGCTTCTGCAGCAGCTGCTGCGCCAACTCCCACGCTGCTCCGCCTACAGGGGTGAGGGGTGATGGTGGGGGGGAGACAAAGGGGAGGGTTGGGGTGGTAAGAGGACTGGGGAACGGAGAAGTGAAATGTGTAGGCAGCACAGGCGGACCGCAAGCATGAGGGGCATTCCTCTGACGGCCCACACACTCAAGTGGGCCGCAAGCGCCAGCATGGCAGCGCCACCCCCTACCGTTGGCGTCCAGCACGGCCATGTCCTCGTCACTGGGGCTGAACTTGAGGCGCCACTTGGCCAGGTCGTGGTCGCACCGCCGCAACTCGTCGTTGAAGTCCTTCTGGGGGGCGCAGGACGGGGCAGCACGAGTGGCACACGAACGAGCTCGCGTTGTGATGGGAGCAAGGCCGAGAGGCAAGAGCGAGCAACAGGTCCGCGATATAATTGGCAGTGTGGCACAACAAGAGCACTCAGATCGGTCCAGGCACACGAGGGGCGTGAGAGGGGCGTGAGAGGGGCGCACCAGAGCAGATGCTTTGCGCAGGCGCTTGACACACAGCTGCATCAGCACTATGCCCTGATAGGCGCGGGGGGGGGGGGCGATGGGGGACGAGAGAAGGAGGGGGGGATGGGAGAGGAAGCAAGCAATGAGGGGAATTCAAACTCGGAGAGGAGAGTGCGCGGATGTGAGAGGCACGTGGCTGAAAGGTGAGCAGGGGTTAGTAGAGGAGGGACGAGACAACGGGGAGAGGAGTGGGGGAATGAGTGCATATGGAAGCCGAGCTCACAGCGGAGTACACGTCGAAGCGGTCGGGGGTGTTGAGCGCCCAGAGGAAGGGCGAGAGCAGCGACGCCAGGGGGTCGGGCGGCAGGGGCGGCGTGGAGGAGGGCGGCATCACGAAGCGCTCGGGAGCGCAGTACTTGGGGTCCATCACTGTCTCGTTGGGCACCTGGGGGGGGTGGGGGGTGGGGGTTGAGAAGGGGGGAAGGGGGTTGAGTGGGATGAGGAGGAGGCGCGATGTGCATGCATGGACAGTGGAGAGGCCCGCATGCCTCTCTCGAGACGGGTGCACGGCACCGGCATGGGTGGATGCAAGGAGGGATGCGGCTGGGTGGATGCAAGGAGGGATGCGGCTGGGTGGAACACGGTGCGGTGCGGCAACGCGACGAAGCAAGGCATCCACACGCAGTGTGCAGCGTGTCGGGGGGCAGAGAGGCGGGGACTGACGTAGTTGTGGCCGGAGCGCAGGTCGACGCACGCGCCCAGGTCGATGAGGCACAGGCTGCCCGCCAGCTCGTCCAGGATCAGGTTCGATGGCTTCACGTCGCGGTGCACCACGCCTGGGACGAAGGGGGGGCGGTGTGCAATGCGGCACGGTGAACGTGATGGCTGCGATGGTGGTGGCATTGGCACGCAGGGCAGGTGACAGCAGCAAATGCTGGTGGGCCAGGCCGCAGGGACGCAGTGGCGAACGACCGTGACAATGAGGCGTTGGTGAATCCCGGGGTGGGCTCACCGCAGGAGTGGAGCTGTTTGAGGTCGCCCAGTATCTGCCTCATCACCTCCTGCGCCACCTCCCATTCCAGCCACATCTGCTGCTCCCTCTCCTCCTCGCCGCTGCCCTTCATGCCGCGCAACAGCTGCGCGCAGGCAAGGAACACAGGCAACGCAAGCGCACAGGCAACGCAAGCGCGCGGGGCAGGGGCGGACAGACGTCAGGTCGAGCTACACACGGCGCCATGACCACCCAATAGCACACCACGCACGCATCGCTCCACGCTGCCTGCCGGCATGGCTCGTGCACCTTATCAGCTGGGCACCCCATCATTCCCCCCCCCCCCCCTGAGCACTCACGGCGTCGTCGACCCCGAGCACGTGCTTGGCGAGGTTGAGCGGGTAGTGCTGGTGGCGCAGGAACACGTCCAGCGTGCGGTCGCCCTGGTACTCCCACACCAGCCACACGCCCTGCCACGGCCACGATGGGGAGACGACGGAGGTAGAGTGAGAGGAAGGATGCAAGGGAAGTGGCGGGGCGAGGTGGGAAAAGCAGCTGCAGGCATGTTGAAGAGGCAGCAGTGCGAGAGGAGCGCACTGTGCGAGTCCAGGTGCTTTGGGATGAGATGTGAGTTTGTTGTGAACACCCGTGGGATGACTCACGCCTCTGGTTGCCCCTACACAGCAACATTCACATATGCCTGCGTCTCTTGACCGCCACACAGCAACATTCACATATGCCTCCTCCACCTCTGCCTCACCTCCTCCAGCTTGCCGCTGGCCTGCTCCGCCGTCACCTGCATGCTGCCCACGAACCGCGCACACACGCCGGGCGCCGTGCGCTGGGGGGGTCGGGGTGGGGGGAGGGGGGTGGAGAAATTGGGTGAAGGCGGAATGAGCAAGAGGGGAAAGGGGACGGGATGGAGAGGCAATGGGGGCGCAGCAGGCACGAAGCGGTGGACAACCCGTGCACTCCCCTGCAGGTGCCGGTGCACGAGAGGTCCCCTGCAGGCGGTGGTGCATGAGAGGTCCCTGGTGCCCACCTGCAGGCGGTGGTTCATGAAGAGCTCGACGTCCCTCATCTCGTCCGAGTGCTTCACCCGCGCCTTCACCCGCTTCAGCACCACGTGCCTCTCCCACCGCCCCTCCCTGCCCGCCTTGCCTGCCACCCCCACACCACCCACACACCGCACACCGCACACCGCACACCGCACACCGCACACCGCACACGCCGCCGCCCAGCACAGGGCAGAGAGGCCACCGTTGAGAGAGTGCAATGAAGAACAGCTCACCGCACAAGAGAGGGGCACACGGAGATCGGGGGTGAGGAGAAGCGAGGGGGGCCGAGGACGTACCGTTGGAGATGAAGCCCTCGTACACCACGCCGAAGCTGCCCTCGCCTATCTGCCGCCCCACCTTCACGCGCCCAGGGTCCAGCTCCCTGCCGCGCGGAGCAGAAGGGAGGGGAAGACAGACCGCAGCCAAGTGAGGGGTTACCGCTGCACGCAGCAGCTAGGGCGGTGGGCACGGCCCTAGCCAGCACTGACAGCAGAGCACGGGCAACAGCGCGATCCCACAGCAGCGGGAAAGAATGCGCGAGGGAGAGGGAGGGAGGGCGGAGAGCGCAATACTTTTCGGCGCGGGCGTGCAGCGGCGCGACGAGGAAGTCGAGCAGCCCCATGAGCGGCGCGGGGGGCGCGGCGGCGTACAGCACGAGCAGCACCAGCGCCACCGTCCACTGGCGCAGCGACGCCTGCGAGGATAAATGGGCGGGGGGGGGGAGGTGGTGATGATGGGGGGAGGATGGGTGGCGAAAGTGAGAACGAACTAGAGGACTGGGGTTACAGCTGGGACGGGGAGGGAGAAGCAATGGGGGAAGGGGAAGCAGAAGTGGATGTGGGGAGGCGACGAGGGAGTCAAGGAGCGAGGAGAGCCGACGGATGGCAAGCAGGAGGCGTGGCGTCGAGTGCACGGCGGCATGGCAGCGAGGCGGAGCGCCGTGGCCGACTGACCGGGTCGTCGAGCGGGATGGCGAGGCCCGCCTCAGCAGCGAGCTGCGCGATCTCGCGGTGCACCGCCACCACCGCCTGCTCCACCTCGGGGGCAGCCTGTCAGGGCGAGAGAGGAATGACGGGAGATCGGGTGGCGCGGCAGGGAGCAATGAGAAACGGCGTGAAAGGCGTGGCGCAGTGCAAGCCGTGGAAGTGCTTTGCCGGAGTCGGATAAATGCGTTGCCTGAGAGCAGCATGCGTCCACACCGCACGCCGTAAGTGGACGCGCAGACGCCATTTCGAAAACGAAAGGCTCCGAATCGAATGCCGAACCATTCTATCGACACATTTTCAGCGTCGCCGAATGGTCGCGCCGAATGGTCGCGCCGCCGCTTGCGATTCCAGCTTCCATGGCATCATTCCCGCCCACACCCCTCTGATACATACGTCCATCTCTATGCTAAGGCTGCCGCCCATTGCGTCCGCTTAGTATTACGCCTCCCCTCCGATCCCCACCTCCCACTAAAACAAATTACTCCACGTTCCAGTACGAGCATCCACGTCACACTATAGTCGCACACTGCAGTCGCACACTACAGTCGCACGCTACAGTCGCACAGTCGCACGCTATTGTCGCAGGCGGGACACTGATTCGTCCCCAGCAACCTATGGGCCTCCGCGGGAGCTCACCCGTTGAGCAGCGCCTCCGCCATGTGCCGTACGCCTCGCCCGCACCCCCAACGCCTCCCCGCCTCCGCCTCCGCGCCCCCACAGCCGACACCGCTGCCAACCGCCGCCGATCGCGGCGCACCATGGGCCGTATGCATGGCGCTATGCATGGAGCTATGAGCTTCCTAACCGGAAAAGACGGAGGCGACGGACGACGCGGCGGATGGGAGCGGTGAATGGGTGGGAGAGAAGGGCCTGGCTGGGGAGAGGCGAGACGACGCTAGGCGGATCAACGTCGAGGAGAGAGAGGCGACCGATCCGTACGACGACGACGAGTGAAGCAACGCGCTGGACGACGCCACGCACGCGTCAATGGCCGCGGCTCGCACGCTCGATGCAACTAAAGCCATTCTAGCATCACTTCAGGCTGGTGAGCCAACAACTCCCTAATGTCTTAGCGGCTAATGACCTTGACAAGTAGCCAGGGGTATGGAGATTGTCTGTCAGGCAATGGACGGAGGAGACCTCGAGGCTGCGGTGCGACGTCCAGCGAAACAAACATCCATCCCTCCGACCGTTGGCGAATTTTAGGGTTGGGTGGGTCTCACAGCCCCATCCACGAGCGACTCATCGTCTGCATCCGTGCGAGCGCATGTCATGGGCTGTGATTGGCTGGAAATGCAGGAAAGGGAAAAGCAACATCGCGGCTCAAAAGTCATCCAAATTCATCAGCTGGCTCGGCGTGGTGATTGGGCTGCCCGCTGCTGAGCTGGCGGCTGAATCCCCGTCGCTGGAGATTCGGGTGTGTATCGCCAGCTGCACCGTCCAAACCTGCCCATCTGCCCTGCCCAGCTTTGCGGCTTGGTTCAGAATAATGTACACGTTACAAGTCTTCTGAACTCCTCTTTATATAAACTTCCCACAGGAAACAAGGCTTCTTAGAGTTGAGAGCAACTGGGATTCGCAAATGGGTGTTGCAAGGAGACCGTCTACACGGCAGTCGCTCAACCTGATGTGTCAAGAGGGAGGAGACAAAGCACAACCAAAAATGGTGCATGTGTATCATTTGCAATGCTTTATCAACCAACATACAAGAGGCTTGTCGCAAGGGTTGATGGATAATGTTTCATACCGTGGTGGCAGGTCGTTGGTGAGGACATCTGTGACCATCCCCAGCACTGGCACTGGGCGCCCCACAAACACTGCTGGCGCCTTCGTCCCCTGCAGCACCACCCACCCCAACGCTGCTGGCCACTGCTGCTTTTTGGCATCTCTGCAACTCCCTTTGGTGCCCCTGCGCCTTCCCCGCTCCCTCCTGCTGCTGCTGGTGCACCTAGAGCTGCTGCGGCCTCCATCTCTCGCACTCGCTGCACAAACTGTGTACTGCTCTTGCACATACGGTAGCACCAATCCCAAGCACACATACACATGGGTTAGAATCACACGAGAATGAACAATAAGGCACACAGCACAGTGGCGCAACAATGAAGTGCTATATGGACAAGAAACATGGCGAGAAAGCGATGCACACAAGGCACCCTGATTGTGACATACGGAGGGAGGTCCGGCAGGTAGAGGCTGAGCAGCACGAGGTGGAAGTCGTGGGGCGGGGCCAGGCGGCTGAGGGCGTCTGCTGGTGACGCCACGGCGCACGCTGCATCCGCGAACTGCGAGAGCGCCACCGCTGCCGCCTTGCGCGTTTGGAAGCACGGGTCCACCACCTGGCGGGGGGAGGAGAAGGGGAAGAGTGGGGGGGGAGGGGTTTCAGCAGAGTGAAAGGCCGTTGGCATGTGGACAAATGGCGCATGGCGCCCTATGTGTGTGTGATAGAAACGATTGTGAGGAGCAGCCTTGGCAGCCCTACCCTGAGCACTCACCAGCACGACTTTGCCTCGCAGCAGTCGCCTGAGGTGCACCTGCTGCTGCTGCACTGCTGCCTGCTGCACCTCCCTCGCACTCACGCCCAGGGCCTGACGGGGTGGGGGGAGGAGTGAGAGGAGTGAAGGCAAGGGATGCAGACAAGCACCATATAAACCCCCAGGTTGGGAAAACCCGCAGGGGAATGCAAACCAACCCCTTAGCCACACCTGCAGCATGGCTGTAGCGAGCACACACCTGCAGCATGGCTGTAGCGAGCACACACCTGCAGCATGGCTGTAGCGAGCAGACACTGCCATGCAGCATGGCTGTAGCGAGCAGCACAACTGCAGCATGGCTGCAGCAAGCAGACAAAAACTGCAG